GATAACCTACTTGCCTCTAATTTGCATGGCAATTTCAAATTATTTCTCTATTACATTCTGATTATTTATGCTCTGATACCTTGTGCCATTTCTTACCTTATTAATCTGTTTGATTGTATCTTACTCTTACTATCTTCCTATGCCAAGTGCCCACCAAGATTTTAAATGAAAATTTATCTTTAACTTATTTTCTTTATGGTGAAAGGCACTTCTCTGGAAATAGTTTAAGGGTTTTGGCATCATCAAAAAGGGGGAAATTGTAAGGAATAAATGTAATTAGATTTTGATGATGCTATAGGATTAGAAAGTTAGAGTACCCCCAAATTAGATTTTATGTATTAGAATTTTCAATTGTAAGTATTAGTGTAGTCGACGATCAGAGTTGCTCTATTTTGGATCAGATCAGAAGTGCATCAGACTTGCTCTATGAGAACTGCTCCATCAGAGTTCTCTTAGCAGAAGTCCATCAGAGTTGCATCATACGAGTTGCTGATGAACCTGGACATCTGATAGCCGATGAGAACTACAGATCAGAAGTACTCATCAGCGGACCTATCAGAGTCAGAGTCAGAGATCAGAAGACCATCAGAACTCAACTCGTCAGAAAGCCATCAGAATCCAACACATCAGAAGAGCCTGATCAGAGCCCGACGAACACTTAGAAAAATTTCAAGCAACATCCAACAGCTATGAATTCAACGGGTAAAAACATCCAACGGCTACAAGACTGTGCATGAAAGGAAAGCATTTAATGCACATTAAATGAGCCTGATACGCTGAAGGATTGATTGCGAATGATTGACCAAAGAATCCGGGAAGATATATTATAAAATTAGAAACCTTCCAAAACGGCGGTCAAGTCAACAGTATGCGCATTTAATGCAGTTGTCTCCTCCTCCAACGGGCAGACAACCTCAGTATATAAGCTACACACCGAAGTTCAGGAAAACAACTTTGCTACAACTTTTGCTCATCATCATTCAAGCTTTCTTGAGATTCAAATTCTACAAACTTCAAAAAGACAAGCTTAAGTTGGGAAGATTCAAACTCCAAATCTCTCATCCCCAACAAACAAGCAAAGTTCATCCTGTTCTTCAACACTTCAAGAACTTCATCAAACATCATTTGTAACGAAGCAAGTTGGAGGAAAAACTCTGTTTTTCAAAGGATCTTCTGAAAAGAAGGGCGTCCAAGTAACTGCAGTAGTGAAGTGGTGATACTTCCGGGAAGCTGAGTGAAAGGACCAGCCATCAGGACGTGGAACTGCATCCTGGGTGGCATCTAGGCTTGAAGAAGACGAGGAGTGCTTCTTAAGTGCTAGGAACTAAGCTTTGTAACCGATCTACTTCAAAGCTAGTGGAACAGTGGACTAGAGGAACGAGTTGTTCCTTGAACCACTATAAAAATATCCGGTGTCATTTACTTTACTGCAATTTATATTTCTGCACTTAGGATATTATCTGATTAACTCTAAGACTTGGAATCTGTGTTCAGCAGATCTTGTTTTCAGAGTTATCAGAAAGGCATTTGCCTTAGTATTTTTCTGAGGCTACCCGGACAGATCAGAATCCGCTGCCAAGGCCAGTTCTGATATCAGAACCAGCCTCTCTCTGTCATCAGAATCAGACCTTCTCTGATAAGTCAGTTTTGACTTTGAGAAAAAGTTGAAAAACCAATCAGTCTATTCACCCCCCCCTCTAGACTGTTTACCATACTAAACGGGACCAACACCTTATATAGGAGGCTCTGTCCGGCCACCGCCATTTGGGGCGGTTCCCGGTGAAATTTTTTGATGACATTTTTTGAGCATCTTATTCATTAAGTCTAGTTTACTCATACCAAATTTCAGCTAAAACTTCAATCGGGAAGACATTCAAATGAATTCTTGAAGATAACTGCGCAATTATCTTCAAGAATTCATTTGAAATGCCTTTCTGATTGAATTGTTAGCTGAAATTGATATGAGTAAACTAGACTTGATGAATAAGATGCTCAAAAAATTTCATCAAAAAATTCCACTGGGAACTGTCTCAAATGGCGACGACTGGACAGAGCCTTCTATATAAGAGCTTATTTAACCTTTTTATGTAAGTTCGATGGCCTATTTGACCATTTTCCCTTACTTATGTGCATTTAATAGGGTCCTAATTATTGGAATCCAACGAAGAACTCAGCAGTCAGCAGTCCAACTAAGTGTTGCGATCACCCATGTTCTACTTCTATTTGAGGAATTCACTTGAATTGAAATCAATATCAAACCGTATATCTCACGGTTACTATTTCTTATGCGAAATAAATCAGCGAAACAATTATTGGTCCCGAGGTGGTGGAATTCTGTAAGCAAATCTTCCGGTCAGGTCGGTTACCAGATAAGGTGAATCATACTCATATCATTCTAATTCCGAAAAAGGAAAAACCCCAAACAGTGGCTGTCTGGAGACCCATTTCACTATGTAATGTCATTTATAAAATTTTTTCGAAAGTTTTAGCTAATCGGATGAAAATTTTGCTGGATGGTCTCATCTCTCATAACCAAAGCGCTTTCATTCCTGGTCGGTCAATTATTGATAATATTATGATCGCTTTTGAAACCCATCATTTTCTGAAAAATAAGCGTCAAGGTCGGGAAGGCTTTGCAGCACTTAAACTAGATATGAGTAAGGCTTACGATCGGGTGGAATGGGTTTTTTTGGAAGGCATGCTTAGAAGGTTGGGTTTTGGGAATAAATGGGTGGATTTAGTTATGGAGTCTGTGCGCATGGTGTCTTATGCTATTCCTTTTGACAATACAGAATTGGGCCCAATATTGCCGCAAAGGGGCCTCTGACAAGGAGACCCATTATCTCCATATTTGTTCATTATTGTAGCAGAAGGTCTCAGCGCAAAACTAAGGAGAGAAGAAAGAGCGGGCAGATTGCACGGAGTGGCAGTAGCAAGAGGAGCACCAAAGATTTCTCATCTCTTGTTCGCAGATGATTGTTTCCTTTTTCTCAAAGCAACTCATAGCGAGGGTTCGGTGGTTAAGGAAGTGCTTAGTGACTATGCGGAGGCTTCAGGACAAATAATTAACTATAACAAGTCAACTCTCTCATTTAGCGCTAATGTAGAAGCCGGTGTTCGTGAGGGGCTACTAGAGATGTTTGGGGTTGGTCATATGGAGACAGGGGCTAAGTATTTGGGTTTACCCTCTTTGGTTGGCAGAAGTAAAAAAGAGGTATTGGGATTTATCAAAGAAAGGATCATTAAAAAATTGAATAGTTGGAACCAGAGGTTTTTATCAAAGGCAGGAAGAGAGGTATTGCTGAAAACTGTTATTCAAGCAATGCCAAACCATGCCATGAATGTCTTCTTATTTCCAAAGGAGATGTGTCTGGAGCGGGAGAGAATAATGAATGCTTTCTGGTGGACTGGATCAGCGGGTAAAGGCATCCGATGGAAAGATTGGGAAGGTTCGTGTTTACCGAAGAAAGGAGGGGGGCTGGGTTTTCGTCGGGTGAGGGAGTTTAACCTTGCTATGATCGGAAAGCAGTCTTGGAAGATCTTCACAGAGCCTAACACTCTGGTAGAAAAGGTTTTTCAAGCAAGGTATTTTCCCAAGTCCACTTTTTTAAATGCTAAAGTTGGGAGCAATCCCTCTTTCATATGGAGGAGTATATGGGAAACCCAAAATCTTATTAAAGAGGGATATAGATGGAGGGTGGGTAACGGTAATTTGATTAAAGTGTGGCAGGACCCATGGCTCCCTTGTTCATCTAATTCAAAAGTGGAGTCTCCTGGTGTCTCGGGGCTAGAAAATTGTTTGGTATCGGGCTTGATGCGGACTGACGGGGTGGGCTGGGATTCTGATATTCTGAATGATTTGTTTAATAGCAGGGACAAGTCGATGATCTGTAGCATTCCCTTGAGCAGGAGGTTAGTCCCAGACAAACTAATTTGGCAGTGGGAGTTAAATGGGAAGTATTTGGTTAAAAGTGCTTACAGGAGACTGACAGAGAATGGTGGGTCAGTTCAGACACTGGGCTGAACTAAAATGTGGTTATTCCAGATTCCACCAAAGGTGAAGGTCTTCTTTTGGCAGGTTTGTGCAGGTTGCTTACCTACAACAGATAAGTTAGCGGGAAGGCAGGTTGTTTGCTCACAGCAGTGCCTATTCTGTTCAGCGGGGACTGAAAGTTTGGAACATATTTTTATTTCATGTTCATTTGCGAAGCAGGTCTGGGCATTGATGAAATGGCAGATTTCTATACCTGGGGATATGAATTTCATGAGTTGGGTTGATAACCTTTTTAGCATCAAAGATGAGGAGTACTGCAGTAATTTTATCATGTTAATTTGGGGAATATGGGGAGCTAGGAATGACTTTCTTTGGAAGAAGAACTCTACTCCTCCTGGACAGATTGTAGCCGCTGCAAATGGCTTTAAGGACGGATGGCGAAGAGCCCAACGCACACACAGTAAAGATGGGAGTAAGAAACAAAGTCTGGAAACATGGAATAAACCCGCAGCTGGTCGGATTAAGGTGAATACAGACGCAACCGTGAAGCAAGGAGTGGAAGGGGCGGGATTAGGATGGGTAACAAGAGATTGGAATGGTGTTTTTATTGTTGGAGGCACGCTGTTTTGGGCTGGTTCTTTTCTTCCCCGGGAGGCCGAGTCATTAGCTATGCGGGAAGCTCTAAATTGGATCAAGGGAGAAGGGTGGAATGAAATAGAAGTCGAGACAGACGCGCTTGAGCTTATTAAAAGTATACAGGAACGATCGGATGACTCGGCTTTTGGTGTGATTGTTGATGATATTTTAGAGCTGTCTTCTAGTTTTACTAGTATTACTTTTGCTCATGTGAGACGGTCAGCGAACCGGGTAGCCCATGCCTTAGCTAGGGCCGCTTGTTCTATGCCTGATTGTCATGTTTGGCACATTGATCCTCCTTCTTGTATTTTATCCTCCCTGAACTATGATTTGAGGAATAAAAGCTAAATATGTTAATTTAAAAAAAAACGGTTATTTTAGGCATACACATGGAGGATGGCATAAACTGGTCATTGAGATCCAAAACTTGGACCAACTTCACTCCACACGCAAAAAAAAAAAATCAGCTTAGGTGTTAAATCTCATCTGGACCACCATGATTCTGTGCAGTCTCCCCCCACTTTGACACCTAAGCTGAAGCTGAAGCTTCTTCATCAGTAAGGTCAGGAACAATGGGGTCCACGTCTGCATATTCTGTATAAACTTGTTCTTGAACATGAAAAAGTTTCTCCGAGAGTTTCATCGTGAGATCTTCCCTTAAACCAGCATTATCGGCCAAATATGTTTTAATAGCATCTTTACCGCTGAAGCTTTGATTATTCATGGTGTAAAATGCATCTCCTATCTTTGTAATGAATTTGTGCTTCAATCCTAACTCTATAAGCTCAGATTCGCGACATATTCCTTTCCCAAACTCAAGCTGAAATTCTGCAGTTCTAAATGGAGGGGCAAGTTTGTTCTTTACGATTTTCACTATGACTTGGTTTCCTATAACCTGTAAAACAGAAAGAGTTTGTAAACAAATTTCACAAGAATTACTATGGAAATCAATATGTTGAAACATGTAGAAGCAATATTCAGTTACAAATTTACACCCTCCATCAAAATAAAAATAATACAATGAAGAGTACTCCCTCCGTATCACATATATCTTCCCACTTCCAAAGTGGGTGAGATTAAGAATAGTGAAATCGGTTATGAATTATTGAGGGTATGATGGGAAGATGGTGAAATAATGTGAAGGAATGAAGGATAAATCCAAAAAAAGTAGGTGTGGTAGTGTATTATTTTTTAAATTATTGAGGGTATGATGGGAAGATTTAGAAATGGGAAGATATATATGTTACGTCCAAAAAAAGAAAGTGGGAAGATATGAATGTTACGGAGGGAGTAGCTATTATCACATTAAAATATGTACCTCTTCCCCTTTCTTGACCTGTCCAACTCTCCTGACATCTAAACGTACAGACGCATAAAACTTCAATGCATTTCCACCACAAGTAACCTCTTGAGGTCCTCCAAATCCTCCATAATAATAATAATAATAATAATAATAATAATAATAATAATAATAATAATAATAATAATAATAATAATAATAATAATAATAATAATAATAATAATACGGAGTACAATTTATGCAAAACTAGGAAAACATGTATGTGTGTACTATGTACTTCTAGTTAGTACGACTGTACGGCACACGCATACAACTAAGGGAGTTTGAGTTTTCAAACTTAAAATATCACGTCTAACTATCTATTGTTTTATATAGTAAAACTCAGTTATAAATCGCTAACATGTCTTTATCTTATTGGTTAACAAGATTTAAAACATTTAACTATAACATTTTTTATTTAGAAAACTAAGGAGAAAAAATAGTGAGCGCATGGTAGAAAAGATCGGAAGAAAGTACGTAACTAAACAAATGATAGAGTCCTTAATCATGTACTTTTCATTTTTTTATTATCAATTAATTTCGTTTTTCACAAATGTATACCTTTAATTATAAAATTAAAGCATACCTGAAACGATGAAGTATATATACCTGAAACGATGAGGTATACAAACGTATTTTATCACTTTATCATCTTTATAAATAATGGGTTGTGATACAATTAATAGGACTCTACATCAACAATCCAAACCTTAATCACAAAAGATATTGAGATTGACTAACATGAATCAATTCATGATATCAGCGTAAAAAAGAAAAGAAAAATAAGAAAAATAGAAAAACGTAAGATAAAATGGATAAGATTTTGGCCGCAATGGTGGAGAGATTTTGTTTCAGGTGAAAAACTTGCATTGGGCCGCACTGGGGCAACACTAATTTATCCATTTTTTAATTTCATTTGAACGTAAAAATAATTCACATCATATTGACTGTAAGTCTGTAATACACATCGCAACAGCCTTAATAGCTGCAGCCGCAGTGACCGCAACACCATCGACCACAATATAAAACCTTGATATGGACTAAAGAGTAAATATATAATATATGGTGATGGATAATTTAATAATCATTTAACAAATACAAATTTAGAAATTTTGTCAATTTGGGACCTGAAAGATATACTGTAACACTTGAGATTTAATATAAACAGATTAATAGTACTACTCATACCAACAGAGGTGCATCTTCTTTTAAGGGAGCTCATTACCTAAGAATTTCAAAGTTAAGCGTGCTTGCACGAGAGTAGTCTTGGGATGGGTGACCCCCTGGGATGTTTCTCAGGGCGTGCATGAGTGAGGACAAAGTGCGTGGTAAAGGCTCGTAGTGGTTTGTGGGGACAGTACTATTGGTCCGGAGTAACTACCACGGGTCCTGCGGGGTCGGGGTGTTACAAGTGGTATCAGAGCAACCCCGCGACAGTGTGATGACCCGTTGGATATCGGGCGGGCACTTAGCGGGGGAAGATTTTGGGATTTGATTGAGATTTGAGATTGGTTTATGGGCGCAACGACGACGTTGCGATCCTATGTGGGGGTGATGGTAACACTTGAGATTTAATATAAATGGATTAATAGTACTACTCAAACCAACAGAGATGCATCTCCTTTTAAGGGAGCTCATTACCTAAAAACTCCAAAGTTAAGCGTGCTTGCTCAGGAGTAGTCTTGGGATGTGTGACCCCCTGGGAAGTTACTCAGGGCGCGCATGAGTGAGGACAAAGTGTGCGGTAAAAGGCTAGTGGCGGTTTGTGAGGATAGTACTAGAGGTCCATAGAGGTCTGGAGTAACTACCCCGGGACCTGCGGGGTCGGGGTGTTACATATACTCCCTCCGTCCTATTTTAGTTAGCCAATCTTGACTTTTCCGGTCAAAGGTGGTAAACTTTGAGCAATTATTTGAACTAATATATTTATGCAAAAAATAAAAATTTTATACTTTTATGATAGTATTTTCAACAAAGAACATTTTCATATAATTTTTATGTTATTATTTTTTTATCTATATAAATATATAAGCAGTCAAAGTTACGTATCATTGACTTGGAAAATCATGTTTGGCTAAGTAAATTGGGACGGAGGGAGTATGAATTATCAATCCGGGACGTGAAAGGTGAAATGTATCGGTATATGACCTGCATGATGAAAACGTATATCTCTGACCCTAACATTTCATAGATTTTGATTTATTTAGTTTTTCTATTAATTCCATCACTAATATTTGATGAATTTTTCTTCCAAAAGTTTATTAGTTTAATAAAACTAAATAATATTTAACTTTTTTAAAATAAAAATAATAATAATATTTGTGAAAACTTAGATCCTCTATTGATAGTATTCAATCATCCGGGTCCTAGATTAGTATTCAATCATCCTACATTTATTTTTCAGGTCCCAGATTGATAATGCGTCTATCTTTGAGATTCCGGATTGATGAAAATTACAATATCTATTTGTATTTTACATTTTAACTCATACTGCGTATCAAATAGACGTGCTACCGGGGCATGCCCCGGGCTTTACATTAGTATATACGTAAAACTAATAATAATATTTAATAATATTAATACACATTTGCATATGGTGAGATCGTCGAATGAACTCTACGCGGATTGGGCTAATCAGATGAAACCCTAAACATTAGAGACCTAGAATCTTCGACTTATGAGTATAAATAGCAGCCTTGCGATCAACCTACGCTGCACAAAACCTCGACCTACGACCTGCGTTGCAGGGAGAAAACGAGAGAAAAGAAAGTGAGGAAAAGAGAGAAAGAAATATAGAAACGTGAGAGAGAGGGTGAACGTTTGGAAGAAGAAAGGCCGATCATCTGGGAGTGACAGACCTTCGCGGGAGAAGGGAGAACGCAGATTTCAACCGAACGTTGCTGGAGAAGGAAACTGCCGGAGTGCTGCGCCGCACCATCACCTTGTTGCCGCCGTCTTAAGGAAGAGACTCTGACCGCCGTACCACCTTCCACCGTTAAGGTATGGCCGTACGTTCGTTCATGCGTAACCTCGTTTTTCCGGTGTTTCCATACGAAGAAGATGACAAAAAAATGACACTAAACTGGTTTGGACTATCTAACCTGTTATATGGACTGTTCGAAAATAAATAAAATAAGTACAACAATAATATAAAAAGGTGAACATGATCGATAATAATAAAAATATAACAGTGACAATGGATCGGTTATTGTTATATATACATAATTGGATGATTAATGACAAGCAATTAACTGATTAGAATAAAGTAGAATTTGGACTATTTTGGTTGAATTACTATAAAATGGACATTTGGATTATATTAAAGTACACAACGAATATGAAAAATAAAACAGATTATCATAATGGACTACATTTAGAGACTATGATAACGAACTGTTTTGTTGTTATAACTGAACCTTTATTTTATTTTTGGGTCAAGTTTATTAAAATGAAACTTAGACTGAACTAATAAAAATGAATTGAGTAGGGCCGATTGTTTTATTTGTTAAAAACTGAAGTTAATGATGGTGAGGATATAACACTCTAATGATAAGCAATGGACCGATTAAATTAAAATGGAACTTTTATGATTGGACCGATTGAATTGTTATAACTGACTATTTGTAATAATGAAATACTTGTATGGGAGTAATCAAGCAGATGAACATAAATTTCTTGACTCGTTATCTATGAACAGAACCAATGGTATACATTAAGTTAATGATTCGATAACGGATTAAATTAGATTAACTATAATTAATAGACTACACCGCTTAATTTCATATTGATAAATAATCAGGAATCGGGTAAAAGTAGTAAAACAAAATAGCCTGGACTTGATTATATTAACGATCCAATAAAACAAATAAAGCTATGGAAAAAATAGAATAATTTACTTATTGTGAAATTTTAAATAATAGAAGGACAGTTGGGAGAAGAAGCTGATAGGGAAGCTTGTTAGGAATATCGGGAATTTGAGGTAAGTTTCATTGCAACCAAAATTATACCTTTTACCTCGAAATTATTTTAAACGTTTTTTTATGTGCATGTTTTGAATTATATTGGTGTATTAAATTTAAGTAAATACTACGTATTATTCTATGGAATTGTTTGTACTTGATGTATTGAATTATTATTATGGAGTTTCGATGTGAGTTATTGTAGATGATTGTTGGGAGACTTTATACTGGTGAATATTTTGGGTTGTGACGAAATTGGATTTTGAGAAAATTATATGGAAATTTTAGTGTATTTTTGAAAGATACGAACTTTTGAATGGATTTTGAGAAAACAAAGAAAAGTGAATATTTTCAATGGTGGGGCACCACGGGAGAAAACCAGGTGTCGGTCCCCTTCACGACCGTTAATGGTGAAGGATTCCTATATGGAATTTTGGGAAGAGATAAAAGACTAAATGATTTCATAAATTAAAGGTGGGCATCATGGGAGAAATCCGTGGTGTCAGTCCCCTTCACGACAGTTAATTGTGAAGGAGTGATTAGGGATGCTACTATTTGCTTGGTGGGTTCGGTAACCAATCCGAACAATTTAAATAGGGGAAAACTGTCAATTACGCCCTCGTACTATACGTGAACCTTCAATTACGCCCTTGTACTTTGGAAACAATCAATTGAGCCCGTCAAGTCTCCGAAAACACTCAATTAAGTCTATATTACCGGTTGTCTCCCGGTTTGCCTATTGCTCGCTGAGCTGGACGCTTACGTGGGGGTCATCTAATACACTCGGTCAATATTTTTTAACACGTCAGTCTCTTTCCCTTTCCCTATCAGTTCCCATCCTTCCCTATCCTTCGGTTCTTTCACCAACATCTCCATAGCCCGGCGGCGGAGATGAACAGTTGGAAACACAGCAACATCTTCAGCTATTCCAGGGCTTTCTTCTTCATCTCCCTCCCCTTTCCCCCCTCAATCAATTCCCTCACAAGCCCCTCCCCTTTCTCCCTCTTCACATACCTGTCAACCTCCATTCCAATCCTCAACTCCGTGCAAGCCATCTGGCAGTTCATCGGCTGCTCTGGAAAAAAAGACCAGCAGAGCATCGGCACGCCGTTGCAGATGCCCTCCACCTTCGAGT